ATCAACGCAAATGGATTTTCTTCGTACTCTTGCGAAACAACATGAGTATGAGAGAAGGGGATAAGATAAGACGTTTCGGTTCATTAAGTCATATATGCCTTAACTCAACATCGCGACTGGACCTTGTCAGTATGACGACCGCAAATAATTTGAGCAAAACCCGGCAAACAACCATGGACTGGGCAGCCGGTAGGTCGCTCTTTCAAGGGTTGTTCAGGAATAAGTTGAACGCCGTTTTTTGAAAATCTAATGCAACGCCAATGAGACAAAGCTTCCTACAGCCTAAATGTAACAAATTTCGAACAAAAATTTTAATTCTAGAAAAGTTTTCTGTTTGTTAATTACACCTTACCTGCTTCAGTTGGTAATGGAACGATCTTGAGAGCAATCTTCGTCTTAATTCGTATTCCTGCGAAGCCATATGCGGAATTTCGAGTAGCATTGAGCATATCAAATAGACGCATTCCATCAACTCAACATTGATATGCATATGATACGGGATTTGCCGTGCACGCTCCAATTTTTCCTTAAATATTTTTAAAGCAAATTTAGAGAACTGATCCCAGCTTACGACAACGAGGGACAGGAAGGGTACTTGAATGCTGCTACTTCTCGCATCTTGCCCTAATCCACTCAAAATTGAGGTCAATGCAGAATTTTACAGTCAAATTTGCCATGTTCAAAGCCGCTCTTTTTAACGCAAAATTCTCATTTCTCAGTCTAATTTTTCCACCTGCTAGCTTAAATTTGCCAATTCTGCATTATAGTTTTTTATTCCCAACAAATTTTCTTCAGCTTTACCTAAAATTTGCATCACAATGTCGAATTTTTTCCTCACCTCTTCCTACAAAGATTGGTTTTTTTTTTTTGGCCTCGTGGGATGAAAAAACACTGCGAGCTCCAGCCGAGGCTACTCGGATGCGATTACTTTAAACTTTAAGGAATAAATTCGCAGCTTCTGGCAGACCTGTTCAGCGGTCCTTTCCTGCTGTCTCATTGCCATTCCTTGCGCCAGTAATTCCTTTGCACGTTGCGTATTTTGTATTTCAGACAGTCCTTGATGCGCCTCCTTGATGAATCCATGACGGAAGGCACATAGGCCAAGTTGACATATTGTTCGGTTATATAAA